GGCGTGAGGCTTGGCAGCCTGGTGGGCGGTTGAGGTTTTACCCTAAGCACTGTGGGGGCTGCCGGCCCTGTCACGCAGGGCAGGACCTATACCAATTCCTTGTGTCTCCTATTACTAATAGCTTTCTGCAGGTCTCTCGAGTGCTTCTTGCAGTCAGGGTAGCCTCTCCCCAACCCACCCCCTGACCCCGTCCTAATTTGCTGCTTCTACTGTGATTTAGGCTTCAAAATCTGTCCACAGTGTTTGTAAAACAAGAGAATATGATGTTTCTTGCAAAAGGAAAACAAAACCAAAAAAGAGGTGTGGTCAGAAAACAGATCCGTGGTTGCCAGAGACTAGGAGCCGGAGAGGCTGGTTGGCTACAAAAGGACACAGGGGAAATTTGGGGGACGATGGCATTCTTCTACATTTTGATCGTGGTGGTTGTTACATGACTGTACACTTTCGTCAAAACTCTCAGAACTCCACGCTAAAAAGGGTGAATTTTACTGTGTGTAAATTATACCTTAATTTAAAAATGAAATCGCCCATCCATCCATACATAAGAGAGAGTCACGCTCAGCAGAGAAAACAAACGGGCACCCAGCCAGGCTGGGATCTGCCAGGTTCCTCACTGCTGCTTCCCGTGCCGCCGCCGCCTCCTGCGAACCCCCGGCCCCTCTTGCTTAGCCCCCCTTAGTGCAGCGGAAAGAGGGCGGCATTTTCAAAGCCATCTTTAAGGAGGCCAGTTTCTAAAATATTATTTCAAAGCCCACTGTCATGAGCTGACTCGTGTCCTCCGGATTCACATGTGGAAGCCCTAACCCCAGGACCGCAGGACGCGACTGTGTGTGGACACAGGTCTTTACTGAGGTGGGGTCTTCAGGGCGGTCCCTAATCCAGCAGGACTGGTGTCCTTATGAGAAGAGGACAGTTAGACACAGACGGACAGAGGGACGACTGGGAGGACGCAGGGGGGAGAGAGGCGTCGGGAAACCAAGCCTGCCGCCACGGTTATCTCCGACTTTGGCTGCGCAACTCCGAGATCAGTTTCTGTCGTTTCAGGCCCCCAGTCCGTG